CTCTTGTGGACTTGTTTTCATTTTCTTCAGCTTCAGTTTGAATTTGCATATCAGTAATTGATGGTCTGTTCCACAGTCTGCACCTGGTCTTGTTTTGACTGATGATATGGAGCCTTTCCATCATCTCTTTCTGCAGATGTAGTCAATTTGATTTCTATGTGTTCCATCTGGTAAGGTCCATGTGTATAGCCGTCTCTTATGCTGTCTAAAGGAGGTATTTGAAATGAACAAATCATTGATTTTGCAGAATTCTATCATGTGTTCTCTAGCATCATTTCTATCACCAAGGCCAAATTTTCCAACTACTGATCCTTCTTCTTTGTTCCCAACCTTTGCATTCCAATCACCAGTAATGATCAATACATCTTGATTGCATGTTTGATCAATTTCAGATTGCAGAAGTTGGTAGAATTCTTCTATTTCATCCTCACGGCTTTAGTGGTTGGTGCATAAATTTGAATAATAGTGGTATTAACTGGGCTTCCTTGTAGGTGCAGAGATATTATCCTATCACAGACAGCATTGTACCTCATGACTGATGTGGATATGTTCTTTTTGACAATGAATACAACACCATTGCTCTGATAGCGTAGTGGTTATGAATTGGGCTGCCAACCTCAAGGTCAGCAATTCGAAACTACCAGCTGTTCCGCGGGAAAAAGATGAGGCTTTCTGCTCCTGTAAAGATTTACAGCCTCAGAAGCTTGTACAGGGTTGCTATGAGTCGCAACCAAATTCAAGGCACATAACAATAACATTCATAGTGGTTAGACAAATACCTAATGTAGGTACAAGTAGGTAACCTTTTCTCGCCAAGTTTCAATAATTTCCATCATTCACTTGTTAATCTTCCTTTCATTCTATCAATTGATCCTTCTTAGGCTGATAGCTAATAAGGCATTAAGGAGGCACAGCCCTTTTTATCCTCTTACATTGTTGATTTGATTAAAATCTTCCTCTTTTCATTCATCATACTTTTTTTGCAGTGATTGCCAAACCTGGCAGCTCATTAGAATCACCTAGGGACATTTTTTGATATAAAAGACTATATATATTTTATCGTATACATGACTGAATCAAAGTATTTGGGAAGTGGTCTGAGAACCTCCTTTTTTGAAACTGATTCCTAGGAAATTCTGAAGAGGTGCCAGGTTTAGAAACCACTGCTGATTGTGGCACTGTGGGATAAAGCACTGGACTATAAAGTCAGTGTGAACCACAAGATTCGCAATACAAACTCACCCGCCGCTCCTTGGAAATTCTATACAGGGTCGCTATGAATTGTAACCAACCTGATGGCACTTAATAATAACTAACGGTGTAAACCTCAAACAGAGGAACAGAAGTAGCCACAGTTTCTTTATAGCTGCCAATAGAGCTTTCTTTAAGCTGGATTCTAAGTCTTTTGAAGACTGAACATGATTACTAATTTTAAAGCAACATTAAATTACATATTAGACAAGGGAGCTTCACAAAATTCATGGAAAAATTCCATTGTCTTTTAATTCTATTTTCCACGAACTTTTTGAAGCTCCCTCATAATTCTTGACTGGTTCCCTTAATAATTAAACAGCTATAAATGCTCTGCTTTCTGTATAGATACAAAGATTTTAGCTTTAAAGTATATAAACATAAGTGGGATTATGCCATAAAATGGCTTTTTTGCCATTTTGGATCCTTGCCCTAAAGAGTTA